TTGTGTTTCAATTCGGGACCCACCCAGCCCTGTATCTCCTACTCTCCTCCAGAGGCTCCTGGCAGGGATTCCCCTCCCCAAATCCCTCAGAGCCCCTGGGGAGGCTGGCAGTGGGGGAAGGGCCGGCCCCACACCTGCTCTCCCCCCACCTCACTCCCTACATCCCCCATCACTGCTTCTCCAGGAATGTCCAGCTGAGATTCCCCTGAGAGGGTCCCCCATCCTTGGGGAGCTCCCCTCCCCAAAAGGGCCTCCCATCTATAAACTATATAGGGTTTGCACGTGATCTTTCATGTTCATCCTGTGTTGTTTTACCTTAAATGCACCACGTGCGTATCTTTGAAATCAGAAATATTTATGACCTTAACTTACGTTTTCATTAAAATAACTTATGCTTACATGCAAATGATCACGGGGCTTCAAGCAGAGCCACACAATCGAATTACTCGCCTCGGGGGCGAGTGTGCCCGGTTCTCTGCGGGCTCTCATGCAGACCAGCCGCCTCTGTTAGCCTCGAAGCTTCTGACAGGCGGAAACCTCACTGCCTGCTTCTCAGAAACCCCCACCCGACAGATAAACTCCTGCTTATTGTCAGATGGCATCTGAGCCACCTCCTTGCTCCGACCTCTGGGTACCTCCTGGCAGGACCTCACGAGGGGCTGCCTTCCCCACCACGCCCCCCACGCCCTCACCTAGCGCACCGCCGGTGCAACATGTCCTGTGCCAGGAGCAGCCGGACCCGGCGATCTGGAGAAGACACATTCAGGGTTCCTCGCAAAGGTCTGACACGGGCCAGGCCTCCAAGGATCTCACAAGAGGAGTCACACCTCTGTTAAGAGGTGAGTGTTCGAGCAGAGGTGTGTCAAGTGAGGTGCCCCGGAAGCGGGTGTGTGGAACCTGGGGGCACCCTGCACCGACCGCCGTTTCATGAGCGCAGCTGTTCTGCCCTCCCGCCCCCCAGGCCGCTTTACACTCACACGGGAACATACAGACGTTCACTGCAGCCATTTCTGACGGAGGCGGGAGGGCGGGGAGGGGAGTCTGGAAAGAAGCTTAAAGTCTGTCACCAAGGGTCAACCAAGGGAGCTGCGGTATACACATCCAGGGGAGTGTAGTTATCAAAATAGCACGAAAGCTCTCAATGCCGACAGGAAAGGAACGCCAAGACACGGGTATGTGAAAAAAGTCACAACGTGATTCGTATGTGACCTCGTGTTTTACACACACAGAGCTGAACCCCTTTTCTAGCAGGAACGGTTGCAGAGATGAGCAGGAAAAGGACAGGGGGTGGCTTTCTCTTTTCACTCATACACACACACACACACACACACACGTGAGACCTCTGTGTTCTTACTAATGTGACAGGACAAAAGGAAACAGCAGTACACAGTAAGCGATGCTGCAGCCGAGACCGGGAGAGCCTAAGCAGGCGCTCTCCACAAGCTCCTCTCTAACTCCAAGAAGAGCCACTCGGTGAGGGCATAAGCACACAGCTCTTCTCTTTCCAATCTCAAGGACAACAAGGTGGTACGGTGGGTGCTGCAGGGGGCACTGGTGTGAAATCCCAGAGACCAAGATTCCATCCCAGGTCTGCTGACGACTGCTTGCATGATCCTGAGGAGGCTACCAGGCTACATGTTCCTCGTCTGCACTGGGCAGTAAGGAGGCACAGAGAATGGGCTTCTAAAAGCCCACAGACCAGCCCTGCCAACCACAGGCTGGGATCCTAGCTCAGTCCCAGCCTGACTCTCCCTCAGAGCCTCCCTTTCCTCTCAGATTCTTTTTGAGTTCTGCCTTCAGCTCAGGTCATGGTCTCAGGGTCCTGGGATCGAGCCCCACATCGGGCTCTCTACTCAGCAGGGAGCCTGCTTCCCCCTCTCTCTCTGCCCACCTCTCTGCCTACTTGTGATCTCTCTCTGTCAAATAAAATCTTAAAAAAAAAAAAAAAAAAAAAAAGCAGGGGACAGGGACAGGGAAGAGGACCACCCTGCTCCCAGAATGTTGCAAGGACGAAATAATACCATGTATCTGAAGTGCTACACACAGTGCCTGGCACCTCCTTTGTGTCCAAACGAACAGCAGCTGCCCGCGTTACTGCTGAGTGAGGGCAAGGACACCTGCCCCGTCTCCATCATGGGGTCCTGGGATCAAGTGAGATGGATGCTGGGAAAGAGCGCCAGAAACAGAGTTGAACACAAAAGTGAGGGGTGCTTACGTAAGGATTCCTCTCCCACCTCAAGGCCAAGCCTCAGCTACCACACAGCTAAGATCCCTATTTTTGGAGAGGGGAGAAATGTAGAATGCTCTCTTCATTCATCCTGTGGACAAAATTCTAATCAGTTCTTCATTTGGGGTCCCCATATCAACTAGACAGGAAACCATGAACCAGAAGGGGAAAACTGGGCTGCTAGAAGTAGATACTGGCTTCTGCTAATTATATCCCAGCTCAGGAACCCTCAGTCCTGGTGGCCAATCCATGGATCCCCTCAAATCCTCCCAACTCTGATGCCCCACCCTCCAGACACTGGGCAAACAGACCCACACTTCTCAAGGTCACGAAACCCAGCCCAAACCCAGCCCAACTCCTCAGGCTCTAATAAACATCATCCCAGGGCACACTCCTCTCCCACGCCACTCCACAAACCATGGGGTCCTTTCCCAGAAACTTCCACAAACACATCTCCTCCCAGAGTCCTTCTGAAATGCTTCTTCAATGCTGTTTGCCTGCTCCGCAAAACCCTCTCCCTGCCACCCTCCAGGAACATCCCTCCAAGTCCTCCTGTCCCCGGTCCCTTTATCTCCATGTTGGACGCCACAGCACTACAGTCCAGGGTTCTCCACCTGACATCCTCTACACACCTCCCATCTCAAAACCATTGCCTGCACCCCCCCCCCCCCCCCCCGCACTCCTCCACACCCCGCAAACTGGAGTTTCGGCTCTGCATTTCTTCCATACCGGCTCCTAGAGCAAGTCCTGGCCCTGTCCACGCTTCCACCCCCGGGGCACCCCACCCTACACCCGATAGCCACACATACCGGCCTCCCCAAAGTTGCCTCTTAAAGGAGAGGGCACACATCTTCCTCCTGGGACCCCGCCTCCACCCTCTTCTCATCCCGACTCCTCACACAGCCATCTTTCAATCCCCCCACCTCCCTCCCCCGTCCAAACGCTCCGAACACACCCGGTCCCAGGCTCCCTGACTTCCTCTCCCCACTCAGGCCAGTTCCCCGCTCGACTCACTCACGCTCTCGGCGGCTCCCAAGTTTCTCCGACGCCCCCCCTCTCCCACCCTACGCCCATCAGGTTCCACCTCCAACCCTCACCTGGTCGGGGACGGGGTTGGGAGGCCAGCGGTACCTTTCAGGCTTTTGCTCACTCCCAACGAGAGCCCCCACTCCCCGAGTCCTTCCACCACTCTGCTGAGTTCTCCTGGACTCCCTTCAGGGCCCGAGGTCCTCTCCAGGGAACCCGTCTGCCCGTCAGCTCACTCCCACTCCAGCTCCTAGCCGGTTCCGGTCCCCTGCGCCCCTCCTCTCGGCCGGCCCCGGTCGGACTCTCCAGCCCCGGGGCCTCCCTCCCACCTCGAGCCGCCGGGTGCCCTCAGGACCCCCCTCGGACGGCCCCTCACTCCGTCTCCGGGCCGGTCGCGGTCCCCTCCCGCCCCCCCGGCCGTCCCGGCGGCCATTGCTCCAAGATGGCGGCTGCGGCGGCGGCGGGTGAGGCCGGGCCGGGCCGGGCGGGGGGTCGGGGGTCCCGGGGCGGCGCTCACCTGTAACTCGGCGCGCTCCGCCTCCCAGCGGGCCTTCTCCGCTTCGAAGCGCGCCCACTCGTGCTGGATAAAGTGCAGGATCCCCGGCAGGCTCAGGGGCTCAGGCCCCGCCGTAGGCCCGGGGCTGCCTCCGCCGCCGCCTCCCTTACCAGCCGGGCCGGGCCCCGGGGCAGGGGCAGCGGGCGGGGCCGCCCCCGTCGGGCCGGGGCCCGCGCCGGAGCCCAGCGGGCGGCAGGAGGAGGCGGCGGCGGCGACCGCGGCTGCCGCTCGCTCCTCCATCATGGAGGCCCCGGGGCCGGCCCGCGCGCCCGCTGTGCCTCGCGCGCCTGCGCGGCCGTACCAACCGCCCCCCCCCCGCCCCCTACGGCCCGCGCGCGCGCTCGGCGGGGGCCGGGGGTGCCGATGATGGGAACGAGTCCGTGCGCGCGCCTCGCCCACCCGGGTCGACCCCGAAAGCGCGCGCACGCGTGCGGGTGGGCGGGAAGGGGCGGGGCGGAGACGCGCGCCCCGAGGAGGGCTAACCGAGACCCAGGCCCAGCGCGAGGGTCGCTCCTGGGAGGAGCAGGACTTTGGGAGGAGCCGCTTTCTACCCCCTCCTCCTGCTTCGCCCCAAAGAAAAATTCTAACTCCCTCCAGACCCAAATGTCACTCTCCTTGACACTGTTCCTCTGAGAGAAAGGGCGACGACCACCAGGGGTGGTCTCAGCAACGGCCCCATCCTCTCCGTTTCCTGGCCCAGGTCGGTAGTCAGGGTAACCCTTCCCCAGCCTGGAACCCTCCCTCTTTGTGGTTATGGAGCCCCAAACCTCTCCTGTCCTTGCACCAGGGGGAGGTTGCTAAGGTAACTTAAGTCCCTGATGGTCCTTCTGCCCCAACCTTCATTTGGTTACTACGGCAACCTCACCTAGCACTCAGGTAGAAAGGACCCCAGCCCCAAGGACACTGCTGAGAGAACACCTCTTTCCCAACCCCTCCCCCTAGCCACCCAGCTGGCATTACCATGGTAACCGTTTCCCCCCCTCTTTCTCATCGTGGGAGGTCCATGGACCAAGCCAACCAGGTGTTTTTATTTAGAGAAGATGCTCTGCTGAAGAGCCGTTGCTATGGTTACAGGGCCTGGACCAGGAGGTGGAAACAGGCAAGGCCAACCCTGGTTGTTATGGTAACCAGGGACCTACAAGGATAGTCCCCCTTCCCGTGTCCCTAAGAACCAGGCCCACCAAGGTAGGGGACAGTTTTAAGATTGTGTCTCAGGATGGAGTGGGTCTAGGGAAGGGTTTGTTACGGTAATGGCTTTGGTCACTTCTAGTCCCACCTTTCTGGGCACATATATAAGAAGGGATGGTTATAGGCTGCTGGGATAACTGACATCCTTCCCACCCATTCCTGAGATACCCCAGGTGGGGCCGGAGCTCATGGAACTTCAAAGAGAAAGGATTCTCTGACCTTCTCATTGCCACTTTTGCAGGCAAGGTGAAATCGTACTCTGCTGTACAAAATTGGCTGATTTGGGGTTTTCTGGTTCTCTTTCCCTCAGCAGTGCAGCTGAGCTGGGCTGGAGCCGCCCACCCGGAGCTCCCGCAGCAACCTAGGAGGTAAGAAGTTCCTGAGTGTCGCCAGCGCTGCTGTGGAAACTGCCCTTCTCCCCCTCCGTATCACTCATTTTCTTTGCCTGTCACATTCCCATTCCACAGAAGGGGCAGCCGAGGCTCAGTCCAGAGCACAGCTCAGGCCAGGTGAACCTAGGCCGAAAGTGAACCTGAGTCTACTTACATTGTTTTCTGGGGAATGGAGAGACAAAGTCTCAGCTTGACTGTCCTCTCCTCCTGGACCACCTTTTCTCTGTCACACCCCCCGCCGGTTTCCTGACCCGTCTGTAAGTTCTGTGTGTGGTTTTTGTCTTCCCACCTCTGGAGGGCCTGCCCAGTGACTGCTTTGATCTTTCCCTGTTCCCAGAACACGGTCTGGCGCAGAGAGTCCTCACTAGGTATCTGTCTGTTGAGTTAATGGGTGAATTAATTCAGTAATTTGCCATATTTAGCTTTGAAAAACACCTGTCAGGTTGGGGCTGCAGAATGCTCAGTGAAGGTGGACAGCAAGCTGGGCAGTCTTGAGTGGACCCAAGAGAGAGCAGAGCTTCCTGGTTGAAAACATGACTCTGGAGCCAGGGTTGTGGGTCAAATCCTGGGTCCACCATTTCCCAGCTGTGTGACTTGAATGGGTGCCTTCACTTCTCTGTGCTGCTTTGTCCTCACTTTTAAATGGAATCAGAACACGAAAATGAAACAAGGTAATTTAAGTGCTTAGAAAGGGATCTGGCCCTATGGTGAGCAGCTAGAATTGTTGATACTATCATCGTACCGCGATTCAGAGAAACACAAGACGTTCAGACCTTCAGAACCATCGTTTCAGACCCTTTGCCTCGATAAAGGACTTTTGAGCCCTTACAGTTGGGAAAGCCAAGACCAACCGCGTGAGGGTACTAGGTGATTCCTTGCTCTTTCTTCTCTGGCCCTCTCCCCTGCTGGTCTGGCTGCCATACCCACTGGTCTCCGAGGCCCCGATTTCTGTCCTCTGTCCTGCCGGCACCTCGTGGCCCAGAGCCAGCCAGATGGAACGTGCCGAGCGCCAGGGCCTGGGAGGTCGAGACCGGGGTTTTCCCTCCATCCTTTCTGTCCCTGAGCTACAGTTTCCCCATCTGAACACCCAGAGTCAGTCGTTTGTGCCACACACATGTATTGAGCACCTAGTGCGTTCCCGGCACTGAGCTGTGCCCTGAGCGCACAGCAGGGAACAAAAGAGTAGGTCAAATCTACAAGCTAACGACGAGGGGAGAAAAACGCAGGGATGAGGCACAGGAAGTACATGGGTGATAGGGAGATACGTTTTGAAAGAGAGTAGCCAAAGAAAGGGCTTCCTGGACAGGTGACATCGGAAGCAGAGAGGGAAGCAGAGACGCAAGGGTCACGAGGGAGGAGCCATGCAGATTACCTGGGGTACAGCGTCCAGACAGGGCATAGCCAGTGCTTTGGCTGCTGTGCCCTGGGAGGATTTGAAGACTAATGTTTGGCCAGCGTGGCTGGAGCTGACAGTCAGTGGGAGAGACTGGGACCACATGGGGCCTTATGGGCCCTGGTGAAGACTTTGGCTTTTCCTTTGAGTTGTAAGCCACAGAAGGTTCGAGCAGGTGCAGGACAGAATCTAGAGTTTTCACACGATCCCTCTGGGTGCTGAGTGGGGAACAGCCCTGGGGAGGTGGGGGAATGAGGGCAGAGCAGGAAAAGGGTCTCTACAGAGTCTTTAGAAGATTCTAGAACCATCAGTGGTCTCTCCGGGGCTTCTGAGTACATAAGCTCTAAGTGTCTAAGGTTTTTAAGACCTTGAAGATTCTACGATTCCAAAGGTCCCCCCCCAACCCCCGCCCTGCCCACCTGCCCGCACAGTAATGTGAGGTCAGTGTTGTTGTCTGTTGCTGTGCGCTGTGTGTCTGCTGCTGGGTCCCCAGTGCCTAGAACAGTGCCAGGGGTATTGTAGGAGTTCCACAGAGAGGGAAAAACTGAAGGAAGGAAGACTCAATCTAAGGTCCAGAAGGTGATTCCAATGTTTTAAAGATTAAGAAGTTGCTCTTAGGGGCACCTGGGTGGCTCAGTGGGTTAAAGCCTCTGCTTTCGGCTCAGGTCATGATCCCAGGATCCTGGGATCAGGTCCCGCATCGGGCTCTGTGCTCAGCGGGGAGCCTGCTTCCTCCTCTCTCTCTGCCTGCTTCTCTGCCTACTTGTAATCTCTGTCTGTCAAATAAATAAATAAAATCTTAAAAAAAAAAAAAAGTTGCTCTTAAAGTGCAACTCAGATTCTTAAATGCCAACTGAGCTGGGTCACAGGAGGGCAAGCAGGCCTGGGATGGGTGAAGAGGGGGAGGAGGGCATTCCTGGTAGGAGAGAGAGGGGAGAGAGGAGGCAGGAAGACCCGGGGCCTTGAGCCACAGTACAATTTGGCTTCAGGAGCCTGAGGCCTTATAGACTCCGAGAACCCCGACCTTGGGCATCAGTTTTCCATCAAGTGCACTTTCAGTGCCCACCTGTGTGCCGGGAACACAGAGATGACTGAAGAAGCCCTGGCTTTACCCTCCCAGGCCTGCCCAGCAGAATGCACAGGGCTGGGATGGGGAGCCCAGAGCCTTCAAGAGCCCACAGACGACTTCTCGCCCAGCTTGGGGTTCAGGGAGGGCTTCCCGCAGGAGGAGGCATCAGAGCTGAGGCCTAAAAGTGGAAGCAAGGGTTCTGCAGGGGAAAAGAGGCATGGGGAGAAGGGGTGTTCGAGAAGAGCATCTTCTAAGCAGAAAGAACAGAATATACAAAAGCGTAGAAGTAACATCTGTGGGAGGAGAAGTCCAGGGTGGCTTAGGCAGAGTTTGGCACATGGCAGGAGGTGGAACTGGACTGGTGCACCAGCAAGAGACCCAGGGTACCCCCAGGCCTGGTGGGAGGTTGTAAGAAACTTTTTCCTCAGGGTACTGGGTAGCCATGGCAGGTTCTGAGCAGGGAAGGAGAGGTCAGGTTGGTGCTTTATGAAGATCCCTCTGGCTGCCATGAGCAGCGGACTTGTCAGGAGACCAGGGGAGGCTGAGCAGGGATCTGGGTGGACCAGGACTGAAGGCGAGATTGGCTGGGTCTCTGATGTCCCCCTTTATGGGAGGAGTAGAAACCTATGGAAATCCTTCATGGGGAAACTTTTGAGTATTTGCTCAGAGCCCAACACCTCCTGTGCTGGAGACCAGCCAGAGCTTGGCTTTGCGTTGGGGACTGGGAGACAGCGCCCTCTGGAGGTTGCTTAGGAGGGCAGCAGGTGAATTCAGGGCGGGGGTGTGTCCTCTGGTCCACAGCCGCTTATCAGAAGAAGCTTCCCTCCTCCCCTTAAAAAAAAATCATTATTTTATTTTTATCGTTTAATTTCTTATTTGATAGGATGTGGCATTCCAAGTATTTCTATTTTTTAATTTCAGGTTTTTAGTTAAATTCTAGTTAGTTAACACATATGGTAAAATTGCCTTGTTTTTTTGTTTTTTTAATTAGTGGTCAAGATTAAAAATTGGGATAGTTGTGATTTAAGAAAACACTTCTAGCTTCTCTTGCAAAACCAAAACGACCTGGCTGACCATTGGGAAGGAGATGGCCAGATGGCCCAGGATTTGAGGAAGTGAAAAGGGGACAGTGGGGGAGGGGCTTGGTGGGCCAATGCTGAGGCCAGCAGCTTCTCTCCTCCCCCCCCACCCCACCCCCGAGCCAGAGTGTGAGAGGGACAGGAGAGACAGATGGGGGAGGTGGGGGCCTTCCTGGAGGAGGGAATGGTGGAGCAGAAGGTGCAAGCGGGGCCTGGAAATGGAGTGGGACATTTGTAACTGAATCCAAACCTGGATAAGAAGTTGCCAAAGAAAAGGATAAAGATTAGGTGCGATTGAACAAGGAAGGAGGGAGGCCGAATCGTTTGATAAAAACCTTGCTAAGCACCAGGCTCTGTGCTGGGTGGAACTAGGGACCCAGCAGTGATTGAAACAACCTCAGAACCTGCCCAGTGGGAGGATACAAACCTGTCCCCACTCAGAAATAGCACAGAGTGGTGCGCTGGTTGGGAGAAGCCAGGGAGCTGAGGGAGCCCAGAGGGGATGGATGGAAGGTCAGAGAGTGCTTCCTGGAGGAGGGGAAGTCAGAGCTGAGACCAAATAGAGAAAGGGCTGGGATAGAAGGGCAGCGCTAGCGATGGGGGGTTGGGGGATAGGAGACTTCTGGCAACCACCTCCAGCCTCCCCTTTCATTCCCCCCTCCCCAGGATGCCCCGGAAGCCCAGCTAGGGCCCGACTTTGGCCCCATGCGTCTCACCCGCTGCCAGGCTGCCCTGGCAGCCGCCATCACCCTCAACCTCCTGGTCCTCTTCTATGTCTCATGGCTGCAGCACCAGCCCAGGAACTCCCGGGCCCGGAGTCCCCGCCGTGGAGCGGCTGCCGGCCCCCGTGTCACCGTCCTGGTGCGGGAGTTCGAGGCCTTTGACAACGCGGTGCCTGAGCTGGTGGACTCTTTCTTGCAACAAGACGCAGCCCAGCCAGTGGTGGTGGCCGCGGACACGCTCCCCTACCCGCCCCTGGCCCTGCCCCGCGTTCCCAACGTTCGCCTGGCGCTGCTCCAGCCCGCCCTGGACCGGCCCGCCGCGGCCTCGCGCCCCGAGACCTACGTGACCACCGAGTTCGTGGCCCTGGTGCCTGACGGGGCGAGGGCCGAGGCCCCGGGCCAACTGGAGCGCATGGTGGAGGTGCTCCGAGCAGGAGGGGCACGCCTGGTGGCCGCCCCTGTCGCCTCGGCCAACCCCGCCCGGTGCCTGGCCCTGAACGTCAGCCTGCGGGAGTGGACGGCCCGCTACAGCCCCGCGCCCTCCGCGCCCCGCTGTGACGCCCTGGACGGAGACGCGGTGGTGCTCCTGCGCGCCCGCGACCTCTTCAACCTGTCGGCGCCCCTGGCCCGGCCGCTGGGCACCGGCCTCTTCCTGCAGACGGCCTTGCGGGGCTGGGCGGTGCAGCTGCTGGACCTGCCGTTCGGCGCGGCGCGCCAGCCACCCCTGGCCACGGCCCACGCGCGCTGGAAGGCAGAGCGCGAGGGGCGCGCGCGGCGGGCAGCACTGCTGCGCTCGCTGGGCATCCGCCTGGTAAGCGGGGAGGGCGGGCGCCTCGAGTGGTTCGGTTGCAGCAAGGAGACCCCGCGCTGCTTCGGGACGGTGGTGGGCGACACACCGGCCTATCTCTACGAGGAGCGCTGGACGCCCCCGTGCTGCCTGCGCGCTCTGCGAGAGACCGCCCGCTATGTGGTGGGCGTGCTGGAGGCGGCCGGTGTGCGCTACTGGCTGGAGGGCGGCTCGCTGCTCGGGGCCGCCCGCCACGGGGACATCATCCCGTGGGACTACGATGTGGACCTGGGCATCTACCTGGAGGACGTGGGCAACTGCGAGCAGCTGCGGGGGGCCGAGGCGGGCTCGGTGGTGGACGAGCGCGGCTTCGTGTGGGAGAAGGCCGTAGAGGGCGACTTCTTCCGCGTGCAGTACAGCGAGAGCAACCATCTGCACGTGGACCTGTGGCCCTTCTACCCCCGCAATGGAGTCATGACCAAGGACACATGGCTGGATCACCGGCAAGATGTCGAGTTCCCCGAACACTTCCTGCAGCCTCTCGTGCCCCTGTCCTTTGCTGGCTTCGTGGCGCAGGCACCTAACAACTACCGTCGCTTCCTGGAGCTCAAGTTCGGCCCCGGGGTCATCGAGAACCCAGAGTACCCCAACCCGTCCCTCCTGAGCTTGGCAGGAAGTGGCTGAAGCTCCTCCCCCCCCCCGGGGGGGGGGTCTGGAGAACACTCAGGCCAGGGAGTGGGGGGTATGGGGGGACCTGGCCTTGGCTATGGTGCTGCTGGCATTTGGTGGGCGGGCCGGGGTTGCGGAGCTGCCGGGCAAGGACCAGCACCGTCCTGCACTTGGAAGACGTGCCCTGACCAAGATTTCCGAGAGCTTGGGTTTATTTGGAGAACAGTTTTGTAAAGAGGAAAATGTGTACGTTCTGCGTCCGGACTGCCGCGATTAGAACCCCAGCTCTGCCACTTCCTAATTAGGCGGGCCGGGTGAGTGTCCAGTTTCTCTGTCCTCGCAGCGTCGCTCTCCCAAAGAGCCCGCAGGACGCTTGGCTGCTGGGGCTGCTTCCGCCACTAGAGGGCGCCTCTGTCCTAGTCTGGGGTCCAAGGCCCAGGTAAGCCCGGGACCTCCCCGTTCCCGGAGCTTCCCTAACTTGAACCTTTTGGTCTCTCCAATCCCCTGTACCTGGCGGGACGGGATGACTGTCTCCCTTCTTCCAGAATGTGACCTCCTGGCCTCCTGCGAGCGCCCTGTGAATTGCATGCTGCTCTTAACCACATCTTGCAGAGGAGGAAACGGGCTCAGCCTTGAGCTTCCGCAGTGGGTAACCGAGCTCTGGATGCCAGACCCACTCCGTATGAACTGCGTTACCTCGTCGTTTCAGCGCTCCGCACCAGGTAGCCCACTTGCGCGGCGGGATGAACAGTAATCAGAGCTCGCGTTACTCAGCTCATATGGTGTGCCTGGCATCCTTCCCAGTGCTGGACGCGGAGTGACTGCTCCATCTCTCACCTCAACCCTCTGAGGCCAGAGCTGCTATTACTTCCATTTTACAGGTGAGCACACCGAGGCCAGAATGGCAGAGTCACTTGCCCAAGGTCAGACAGCTTAGAAAGCAACAGAGCAGGGACTTGAACCCCGGCGGCCAGGCTGGAGGGCGCACTGAATTTGGCTGCTGTGTCCCATTTCTAGTCACGCTACATGAGAGGGGGGTCCCTGGGAGTCCGCACCCCTTAGCTGGTGAAGCCATGGCGGCCTTCCTCCTGTGCTCGTGCACCCAAGATTAAATGCCATTTGAGCAAGTATCCCAAATATACTTATTATAAATTATATACAGGTACTTCTATTGTTCTGTGTATTAGTAATAAGGCTTCAATTATTCCATTTTAAAATAAACAGAGAAGGTTTTGTTTACATGGCTCATCTTAGTGACTTGTCCCATTTGGAACCACGGGCTGAGGCAGGAGAGGCCTGGGGTCAAAACCCAGCTCTGCCTCTTTCCCACTGGGAGCTTAGGCCACCATGACTCTGCCTCTCTGAACCTCTGCTTTGCGCCTGGGAAATGCGGGTCGTGAACGTTCCCCCCACAGGGGTGCTGTGAGCCACTTGAGTGGTAAAGGCTCAGGAATCAAGGCTGTGTTTGGCTCCTGGCCAACTTTATTTGTGATCTTAGGCAAGTCCCTGCCTCCCTGGACCTGTAGGTTGGTTGTGGGGGATGGGCGAAATTGCAGAAGCCGGAAGCCAGGAGGAGGGGGAAGGGGAGGGGGAGGAAGAAGATGATCAATGCAAATCTGGTCCCATCTCAAACGTGGCTCAGACATCCAGAGTCCGTCTTCTTAGATCACAGCCTCTATTTTTAGCCACTGAACCTGCAAAGGGCTCCCAGAGACTGTTGGGTTTCCACGGAGCATTTTGGAAACATAAGGGGATGATTTTGACTCTCGGTAAGCATAGCCCAGGAATGGAGAGGTCATAATAGGCAGGACCTCTCCACAGGGTAAAGCACTGGCCCTTGCCATATACAGTTTTGAAAGCCCCGTTGGACATTCCTGAAGGGAGTGCGATGTTCAAAATCTTATGCAACTGGTACGGTGATACAAGTTAATATATATGTCAATATATGCATCACAATGTGTAAATATTTCTTTTTTCTTCTCTGAAGGATGGAAATGATCTGTAGATACATATTTCTTTCAATTGTTTGCCAGGAACATGAGCTGAAACTCAGATTATTGTTAAATCATGCAATTATTTTGTTTTATTTAGAAACTTAGAAATTGTTGGTGCGGTTTCTTGATTGATATGCTATATATATATATATATATATATATATATTCATTTATTTAATTATTTATTATATAAAAATATATATAAAATAACCCTGGCTTAGCTGTGATTTGATAAGAGAACCACATCAAGTGCTTCTGGCAACTTCCCATTAAACTGAGTGCCATTAGGTGACTTGGGGTCTCAACAGCTCAAGAATTTCTCTTGGGGCGCCTGGGTGGCTCAGTGGGTTAAAGCCTCTGCCTTCGGCTCAAGTCTTGATCCCAGGGTCCTGGGATCGAGCCCCACATTGGGCTCTCTGCTCAGCAGGGCGCCTGCTTCCCCCCCTCTCTCTGCCTGCCTCTCTGCCTACTTGTGATCTCTGTCAAATAAATAAATAAAAATATTTTTTAAAAAAAGGGGGGGGGGCACATGGGTGGCTCAGTGGGTTAAAGCCTCTGCCTTCGGTTCAGGTCATGATCCCAGGGTCCTGGGATCAAGCCCTGCATCGGGCTCTCTGCTCGGCGGGGAGCCTGCTTCCCTTCCTCTCTCTCTGCCTGCCTCTCTTACTGCTTGTAATCTCTGTCTGTCAAATAAATAAATAAAATCTTTAAAAATTTAAAAAAAAAAACAGTTCTTTTAAAAAAAATTTCTCTTAGCACCATCTGTAGTGTTTTGGTGTTTTCTCCTCTATTCCTTGTTCCTGAATGAACAACAATTTACATTAAAAACTTTTGTAACCTTCGGGCACCTGGGTGGCTCAGTTGGTTTAAGCGTCTGCCTTCAGATCAGGTCACGATCCTGGAGTCCGGGGATTGAGGCCCGGCATCGGGCTCCCTGCTTGGCGGAGAGTCTGCTTCTCCCTCTGACCTTAGCCCCTCTCATGCAGTCTCGCTCTCTCGCAAATAAATAAATAAAATCTTCCAAAAAAACCCTAGTTTTGTAGCCTTTATAATACTGCCTGACAGCTTTGTGTATTCAGTATTTTTATTCTCAACTAGGTAAATAATATGAGGGGAAACCTATTGCAGCAATTAACTTGAATTAACGAGTTTATATTAGGATATGTATCACTGAATTTCAGTGCTCTCTCATTGACTCTTGTATGATTAGCCAGCCAGAACAGAAGCTTTTCGGTATTGTAAAAACCAGCACATTCAGACTAGTGCACATTAACCAAATTTTAGCCTCATTTGGAAAAACCTGCTTAAGAATTATCCAAGCTCCAGGGGTGCCCGGCTGGGGCTGGCTCAGTTGGAAAGAGCATGCGACTCTTGATCTCAGGGTCGGGAGTTCAAGCCCTGCTTTGGGGGTGGAGGTTACTAAAAACTAAATAAATAAATAAACTTTAAAAAATGAGTAACATCAAATCACGTGCAGGTAGGTCATAGTATCCATGATCTTCATGTCAGCAGAGCCAAGAGGATTTTCCCAGAGCTGACACTCAAGCCAACACAGGCGCTGGTGTGGCCATGATGGTCGTTAAAACATGACAATACTACGTTGTAGATTACTGATATGTTGGTAAACGGTCATCACCATGAATGCCTCTCCGTGGGGACTCCCTGAACTTCTCCCCCTGCCCCAACTCCCCATCAGGGAAGACGGAAGGTTCATGTCCCTACAGCTGTTGGAGGAGCTGCTCCCTTTAACCAAGCAGTAAATATTTGTGTGTCCTCCCTGAGCATTACAAAAGATTTGCTATGGGAGGTTGATGGCAGACAACCCACCTGTGTACAGCCCCAAACCAGAAACCCCCTGGTATCCATTCCACGTGAATGGAGCCACAAACTGCTGCGCCCAGAGTGGCGTACTCGTCCGTGATTAAAAACAAAAAGCAATAAACTAATAAGTGCACAAACGTAGCAAAATCTCAAAGGCATTATGCTAAGTAAGAGAATCAGGACACAAAAAGCAACCTGCTATAGGATTCCACTAATGGGAAATTCTAGGCGAGACAAACTAATCCTCAACCTATCCCAAAGCTGATCAGTGGTTGCCTGGGCCTGGGGACTGAGGGAGGAACAAAATGCAAAGGAGCACCAGGCTATCTGGGGTGGTGGCAGTATCGTGTATCTTGATCGTGGTGGTTTTCACTAACTATGCATCTGTCAATTTTATCCAAATACCTACTTTAATGGATGTGGTTTATTATATGCCAAGTATATCTTAATAAGGTTGAGCCCCCACCCAAAAAAAAAGGCAGATTGGGAGAGGGAGTCCAACAGGCCAAGAAACATTGTTGCCAGGGAAAGACAAAGCTGTCATTACTCGGAACTTGGAGCCCCCCTTCCTGTTACTGTGAGTCTAGAATGAAAAGTCCAGGCCCAATGCAGGACTAGCGTGAGGACTCCCTCCCAAGCCAGGCTCCTTCGAAGGAGCAAAAGGGGTGTTCCCAAGACAGGGGTGCGTGGAGCCATGGAGAAAGGTAGAGGTAGGTGGAAGCAGGGCCCCAGAGGATGGCCGTCCAGGTGCTTTTCCTTCTGTTCTTATATAACCTTCACCAGTAATCTTGGAGTGAGGCATAACAGAGCCACTGTCACCAGAGGGTGAGACTCCGCCCTGCTTACACAAGGCGACAGAGCTGGCAGGCAGCAGAAACAGGATCTCGACCAGGTGACAGACTCTTCTAGCCAGGCGGCTCTGTAGCAGGAGCCCGATCCATCCATTCTGCAAATATTTATTTTTTAAAGATCTTATTTATTTGAGAGAGAGAGAGAGAGAATGAGCAGGGAAAGGAGCAGAGGCAGAGGGAGAAGCAGACTCCCAGCCATGCAGGAAGCCGGACACAGGATTCGATCCCAGGATTCCAGGACCATGACCAGAGCCAGACAGACACTGAGCCACCCAGGCGCCCTCTGCAAATATTTATTGAGTGTCTGCTATGTGCCAGGCACCATGCTGCGCTCTGGGCAGACCGTGGTGGACAGG